GAGCATTAGAAATGAAGTGAGTTCTTCACAACGCTTTATGAGTCTTCATTTAGATATTTCAAGCCAAATGGAAATGGGAAATTGTGGAATTATAATTTTTCTTTGTCATTTTAGAATTGCAGATGCCTAAACAGAAGTCAGAAAAATCAGTCTGATAGAAACTTGCCATGGGGAGCTTCCCCACCATGCTGAAAGGTCTGGTTTTACTTTGCTGTTATCACTTGAATGAAGTGCAGGACTGCCTCGCTCTGTAACCTGTGGGGCTGGCCCTTTTCTGCTGGGCCACAGCAGTGCTTCCTACTCTAATTAGCACGATGCCTGGACCAACTCGGAGTGGAGAGGGAGCACTGTGGTTGCCTCCGTGACCAATGAAAGCAGGTGCTTCCTAAAGAAGGATGGGGCATTTCCTCCTGTAACCTCCTCACCCGAGTGCCTCAGTGTAAGGTTAGGTGGGATTCTGTAAGAGGTGCTTTCATGTACTTCTCTTCATCTGGGTAGTCAATTCTTCACTAGTCTGATGCTATCTGCACTACAAATTATAGAAGTTTCTCACAAATATAGGCATGAGGCTGGTATTCTTCCATTAATTCTGCTAGCATGAATACAGGTTTCCCCCACTTTTATATTGAATATTCTATATTGCCACTGTAGAAATTCAGGATTTGAGGAAAGTGATGGAAGGAGTTAAATACATGTGCTCAGGCTAACATCTTAAACCAGAACCTGAACATTAATCTAATTCTAAGAATTTATGAAGCCTTCAAATTCCTGGCTCGGCCAGAACACTGTTAAACGTAAACTATGGTGAAGGACCAAAAGCCCCGAAATCATATATAATGATTTGTATATAAAGATCATAAAGCAAAGTTAAATTACAAAATGAAGGCATCTGGACTGTTTAGTGCTGCACTCAATTCCTGCCCATTACCGACTGCTTTAAAAGGCTGGGGCATCATACAAGGAAGAGAAGGCCACTCTGAGGACAAAGCAGGGACACTCTGAGGATGTACTGCTGCAGCAGCCCTGTCAGAATCCACCTTGAAGAGGATGGCCTTTTAGGCATAACAGACCTCAGAGAAAGTCTATTATTGGAACCACGTTCTCCAACAACACACACCCAGCAGGCAGGATCTTGGCTACTCCTATAACTCTACAACTATGGACAAGTTCCTTCTTGCCTCTCCACAGAGCAAGGTTTTAGTTCTAAAACCTGGGTCAGAATCAGCTTTTCTTGCAGTATTAGAGAAAAGTCTTACACAACCACTTACCAACAGTCGGGAGTTCTATTTTATTGCAGTGGTCCTGATTGCAGCAATACGTTGTAGTGACAGAGCCAGTTTTTGAAGACGGTGCACACACAAACGGCCTGTCTCGGGGAATTAGGTCAATTTCAGCTATACACATGCTATTGTGTATAACTTTGTCTGTGGTCTCTGTGACAGAGACAAAGCAGAGCCCATCTGTCACACACGTAAAATTGTCTTTTGTACAAAGGTGGCAGAAACACTGTAATGCTGGGAAAAGAGAAGATTCTATTAGAAAAAATTCTCAAGGTTCACAATATGAAGTTATCCCATATTCACTAAAATAATACATTCCTGATCCTATTATACTACAATTTCTTTGCACTGTTCAAAAAATAAAATGCTTATTTCTCTCAGAAGTTCCAAATTCTGTTGAGAAGCACACATACATAGGAGTCAAATGTGATAAAATCAGGACCGAGGTTTTTTTCTAAAACTTTTTGGTTTACAAGTACAGAAAAATTCTTACAAGTAATTTCATCAAGGTAAGGCTCTCCCATTTGAAACACAGTACATGTAAATTTTTAATGGTTATTCTTATCAGCCCAAAGCTATGTATTCACATATTCCCCCACCTGGAAGCAATATGTGAAAATACAACTACCTACTTCACTAGAGGTTGGAAATGTCATTTGGGTGGATTTATGGTAATGGAGTAATGGAAATAGATTTGTATTTCTCTTTCCTCTTGTGCAAAACCCTGACAAAGGCATGTATCTTCTAGCTAGGATTAGGGTGCTTGCTCAGTAGGCCAAGGAGACTACACCAGTTAAGGCAATCATAGACTGGAGAAACACTAGCAACATGCCCAGTTGTATCTTTTGATCTTTATGGCTTAACTGGAGAAGTGACTCCTTCAGGGAAGTCTTCCCGTAATTACCAACACCTTCCCCTACAAACAGACACAGACCTTCCACCATGGTCTCCAATGAGGTTAAGTGCTTCCCAAAGCACACATTAACAGGATTGCTATATTTTTTCTCTCCCCTATGAAACTATAAGCACCCTGCAGGCAGAGATCCATATTAATAATTTCTGTAAATCCATGTCTAGCAGGCCTGTTACATACCAACATTCAAAAAACTTTTGTTAGGGGTGCGTGGGTGGCTCAGTCGGTTAAGCGTCCGACTTTGGCTCAGGTCATGAGCTCGCAGTTTGTGAGTTCGAGCCCTGCATTGGGCTCTGTGCTGACAGCTTGGAGCCTGGAGCCTGCTTCAGATTCTGTGTCTCCCTCTCTCTCTGCCCCTCCCCTGCGGGCACTATGTCCCTCTCTCTCTCTCTCTCAAAAATAAACATTAAAAAAATTAAAAAAAAAAACACTTTTGTTAAATGAATGATAGAATGGGCACTTAGATTTCACTACAAACTCATGAAACTGCAAAACACAGTTATGTCCTTAGGTCCAAACAAACTTCCCAATTACTCGTTGGAGAGGAAAACGTTACAGTCCAGATATGTAGTACACAGAATGGCTACCTATGATGAGACCAAGGAGGTCCACAGAAACAGCATATCTAAAAAAAGAATAGCTAGACAGGCAGGCCAGAAGAAAGCTAACTCTCTGAACAGCTTACTGTGCAGGAAAGGAGAACTCAACAGGCTTGTGATGCTCAAATGTTGCATATTCCCAAGAAAGGCCTGTTTAGGACTGGCCCCTGGCTAGTCCCTAGGCAATAAGCTCTGAGCCCTTGGCACATTCTCCCTGATACAAACACTGCAAACCTGTGTGACTGAGACCCAATAAAAACTCTGGACACCAAGGCTCCACTGAGCTTGCCAAGCTGCAACACTCTGCACGTGCTGTCACAGTGATGCTGAGCTATGGAGTGAGTGCACCTGTGCCACTGCACTGGGCCAGCACACCTGGAAGCTGGCACCTGGTTGCTCCTGGGATTTGCCCCATGTGCCTTTTCCTTTTGAGGATTTTAATATGTATCTTTTCCACTGTAATAAACCATAACCATGAGTACAACAGCTTTTCTGAGTCCTGTTAGTCCTAGCAAATCACTGGGCCTAAGGGTGGTCTTGGGGACCTCAACTCACTTGCTAAAACCAAACTCAGGAATGTCAGGATTGCCTCAAGCAAGTGCTTCTTGGTTGCTGGCTTAACTAATATACTAACTACCTTTACAGACCAGCAATGTTTTACCTTAGTCGTCATAAAAAAAAAAAAAATTCTTTCTTCTTCTTAAATAGTTCAGCTATTTGAATTAACTCCTCCCAAACACAAGAAGAACTCAAAAAGAGTATTAAAAAAGACACAGTCATAGTCCATAGTCTAATACTTAAAGATTATTGAAAGAGACAGTTATTCACAGTGATTATAGGTTCCCCGGGTATAATTTCCTAAGGAGGGATTCTGACTAAAAAATCCATGGACTGGTTTCAGGGATACATGAATGCCATGAAACTGCAGGTCAAATATATGGCTTTCAAGGTTTGTTGCTTTCAGCAGAATCACAAAGGAGTCTGTCACCCACAAAAGATCACAACCACCACCATAGGAGACTGTCATCATTCTCTCCTGAATCCTCTGTACTCAAGGTGAGTCAATCGACCAATACTGTCTAACCATTAGTTTTATCAGTTACTCTACCAAAAGCTTAGTGTACCAAGACTAACTTACGGTTCCAGCACCTGAAGAGCTCCAAGGCCTACAGAAGGCGAACGCTACGATACAGTGTGTAATTGCTATGTATAAAAAATACTGCCACGAATACTCTCTCAATTCTAAGATCTTCTTCTTCTCTCTTAGCATATATGAAATGAGACCTACACGCTTGGCCTAACAAGACTTTTACTTTTGGATTCCAACTTACAGCTCCCTTTGCAAATGCCATCTAAGGCCACACATTTCCCACCATCATGTCTTTCATGGCCATGGTCTTCACACATACTATCTTTCTGCTTCATTTAAACCCACCTCTCATCCTTTAAGACCCTATTCAAACAAGATCTTTTCCATGATATGCTCTAAACTCTTCCCCACCCTTAAGATAACTGGGTGGGTCCTTATGATACGTTTCCTAGTCTTCTTTGTGGACCTTTAAATTTTTTTTTTTTCAACGTTTATTTATTTTTGGGACAGAGAGAGACAGAGCATGAACGGGGGAGGGGCAGAGAGAGAGGAAGACACAGAATCAGAAACAGGCTCCAGGCTCCGAGCCATCAGCCCAGAGCCTGACGCGGGGCTCGAACTCACGGACCGCGAGATCGTGACCTGGCTGAAGTCGGACGCTTAACCGACTGCGCCACCCAGGCGCCCCTCTTTGTGGACCTTTAAGACTTGTCAGATCGAACAAATCACTCTATTTATAGTTTGCTGTTAAAGGCTCTCTCATTACATTAAGAAGGGCCAAGTTTTTTAAAATTTGTTTTCCCACCGTTTAATCCTGGACTCTTAGATGGTGATCACAAAAATACATGCTGACGCAGTATTTCCCAAACCAGAGGTCCCAAGTATGTTGGGAGGAAAAGGGGAGTCTACAGATTGTGTACAAAAAAATTTTTAATGCTTTCATTTAAAAGATAATCTAGGGGCGCCTGGGTGGCTCAGTCGGTTGAGCGTCCGACTTCGGCTCAGGTCATGATCTCGCGGTCCGTGAGTTCGAGCCCCGCGTCGGGCTCTGTGCTGACAGCTCAGAGCCTGGAGCCTGCTTCCCATTCTGTGTCTCCCTCTCTCTGACCCTCCCCCGTTCATGCTCTGTTTCTCTCCATCTCAAAAATAAATAAACGTTAAAAAAAAATTAAAAAAAAATAAAATAAAAGATAATCTAAAATGAATGATAAAAATTCTGGATCACAAGTAACCACAATCTAAACAAGTACTGTCAGTAGGCTGTCTTTCACTGATACTTCTTTGGTTGTATTAAGATCTCCCTCAGGCCAAACGTTTCTCATGGCACACTGTGCAAGGAAAGGTCTCATTGTAACTGTAACCAACAGTGAAAAATACTGTACAGGAAACTAGAATCATCAAAGCATATGACAATACAGGCATCGTCAAAAGCCAACAAACAGTCTAACAGCTAATACCATATATATATGCTGCAAGTATTACACGGGTCCTATCTTTGTAGTACAATTGCAAAAGTTCATTAGAAATAAATGTGGATGGAAGTACCCAATGACATTTTTCCATTCTCACTTCCAGCATGAGCTGGTATAGAGAACCATTTAATAAAGACTTCAGTAATGTCATCATGTTAACCTCATCTCCGAGTGAACACCACAGCTGACATCTCATTAAAACCGGTATTTAAGGAATGTTTGCTGGCAAGTGTTTTGGTCAGACATGAGGTCTGATTATCCCGAACTTAAAAACAAAGCCTTAAAGTCATTAATAGCACCTTGCACAACATTACTTACAGAGAATGGATACTTGCAGCTTTTAGTATCACTCAAGTGAAAATAGAGAAACAGATTTAAAATGGCATGAGACCTGAGGCTATTTTTTTCTATTGTGAAACCTAAACATCACCTGTCTCACCGAATAACTATTAACTTGAAATTTGTTAGTTTCATAGTTGTCTTTGTATTTAATTTGCAGTCTTGGTTTATAGTTATAAATGAGCCAAAAACAATAAAAAATTTTTTATCTAGTTTCACAGCTATACAATTTAAGTAACATGAAAAATACATCCTGCATGTTTCCTTTTAAAGGGGTTACTACTTATGGCAAGTTTGAGAAAATTAGGGCTAAAGGGCTTCTCTGAACAAGTGTCTTTCAACAAGAATAGGTCACTGGACAAATATAAACTTCACTTAACATAAAGCTTAACCAGATTAGGGTTTATTTCTTGAGAGAATTTTAAAATTCTATTTTACTACTCTAAATCAGAGTTGAGACTGAATACAAGATTGCTGTTAAACATATATGATGTTTAGAGTTGACATATATGATGACAGTTCAGAGAAAAAATAAAACAATAATTTAAAAATTTCCATCAATTCATGAGCTTTAATTCTCATTTTTTTAATTCAAATTTATTTTATGAATAGATAGATCTGACCCCTAGCTACCTCTCTTTATTAATTAGGCTGTTGTTAATTTTTAAACGCACATACAGGGCAAAATTTCTATCTAAAAAAGGTGTACAATGATGTCTTCTTCCCACTCCAGAGCCCAGGTTTCACACCCTCCTCTGCAGCATCCTTTAACACCAGCCCACCAACTCGACTCTTTCATTCTGCAACTTCTCACTGAGCATATCTATCTATCTGCCAGGTACTGCGCAGGCTGCGGGGTGTAGGGATGAATAAGACAAGTATCTGGACTGCAGGAGCTCAGCAGGGTGGATTAAATGGAGCACTAAAATCCAGGGTCCAGAGGACAATGATCAAAGCGCTTCAACTCTGCCAAGGTAGAAGGGATATCAAGAAAAGCTTCACAGGCCATCTGAGTCAGAACTTGGAGCATATGTAAATCTGCTAGATAGCTGAAGGTGAGAAAGTTGTCCTGACAGCTTTTTGTCCTGAGGTTTTTTCTCCTCAGTGGCAGGATTTTATCCTTGGTGGCTAGCATCCCAAATGTTAATGAGACCATCAGATTTCAATAACTACTCAAGATATTAACCATAATGGTTTCATTTCATCAGCAAAATGAACATAATCCCTTCCTGACCTATTTCATCATCTCAACGAGATCGTCAAATGAGATACTGTACAATAGCACATCTTGAAACTACTAATATAAATCATATGTGACCACACAGAATTATCACATATAATAAATGGCGTTGTTCCACACAGTTTTTATTTGTAGGCCACCAAAGAAACGCGTCTTCCCCAAAGTAGTACGTAAAGTTCCACTGTAGAGTCCTAGACAGGGCCGCAGGAAACCCTGAAGACTGTCTCATTCTAATTCAGTTCCGTCATTTTATTAATGCAGAAACTAAAACTGAGGAGTACCAAAATAATTTATAACAACATCCTATCCATGTTACAGGTGGATGTGAATTCCCACTACATTTTCATCACAAACATGTGATGGTATTGGTATCTGTATGTTTCTGAGTTAGTATCCAGATGTTAAATAACTCAAATCTTTCAAGACTCCCCAGTGGTTCAATAGGACAGCTTCTTGTTTGGACCCCTAGAGTTGGGCTTTTCTGCCTGACAGCAAAGATACGAATCAAACTCCCTGTTCAGTACCTTTCTCCTACCTTGGTCACCTGTTGCTTCCAGGCCCCAATATCTACCAGCAGCTACAGCTTCCTCCATTCTATGATGCACATTTTCCCACACTCTCACTTCTGAAATCTGCATCTGCATTACAACCAAGGTAAAAAGAAAACTTCAGCCTCTGGACAGAAAGGTAAGACACGATATTGCTACTGCAACCGAACCATGTACAAACTTGGCTATGTATAGAAGGAATTACTGATTTAATTATCACTTTAATTATTTGCATTGGTATCTCTCCTGCAAATAAAATTTAGCTTAACCTTATTCCCCATTAAGGTCTTCAGGCAGATTTCACAACGATTCAGCACTGCAATGAAAAGCCACTGCGTTCACAGAAAACTGTCAATCCCATGCGAGGAAATACAATTACTAGCAATAGAAATTTCCAAAGACTGCAAAATAAATCACAGAATTTTCAAAATTAGAAGATGTTGGTGTGATGTGAAGGACTGTCAGAAACCAAACATCTAGCTGTCAAAGAAAGTGACAACAGTAAAGAGAGACAGCGGGACTCCTGGGGTTATCAACTTCACTGATGGTGATAAATCCCAAATTGAGATTCTAGCACTTGGTCCCAACTATATAGGAAACTTCCATCATTGCTTCATTTGAGTGTGTCTGGAGGTCACACATCAAAACCCTATTCTTTCTACCTCCCTTCACTGCTAGTCAGCTAGGGCCACCCAGGGCTGATTCACAAACCCAGGTACCCTGCTAAACAAGTGGAAAAGCAGACAGCCTGCGAACAGTACACAGAACAGACAGGTCTATGACCTTTGTTGATTAAATAAAAACTGGCACCAGAAACCTTGTCTTCCCAGGCCAATAACTTACTCCCCGCTTTATGCATATACTTCAATACTCCCTCCTTTTTCAACCCTTGTTGTTTGGTCTCACGATCCTTCTTTCCCTCTATCAAGTACTTGACTGAAACATCTGTTGAAATTCACTAGTGATGCCTTTCTGGTGAAATTCAACGTTCTTTTCTAAAATTCTTCAGGATATGAGACACACTGACACATTGTTCTTTATTAGTTTACATGACACCACACTTCCATGTCCACAGTCAGCCCTCTGCTACCTCTCAAATCTACATCTCTACACTTCTTGGCCTTGTGCTCCAAACTCATATTTTAACTGCCTTCCAAGAAACACTCTGCTTGGCTTGCCTTTTACTGCAAAGTCAACACATTCAAAACCAAAATACAACATTATTCCTCTAATAGTGGGAGATATAATCAAAGGGCCCCACAAGGACTCAGGTTCCTTCATTGCTGAGACAGCTCAGCAGTAAAAAAGCAACAGGAGGATGAAGATTTCCCTCTCAGAGACTGAATTCCAATCTTTTCACCACTCTAACTTTGCGGGTGATGACCCTTACTTTCCCTTACCCTTCCCATTATAGCACAATTATGTGTTGCGACCTAGTGAGAGTATTCCCAAATATTACAAATATGCACCAAAAGACAGGTAAAGGACATGAACGATGCCTTTTATTCAGTCTGCTTAGCTACTGTTAAAAACTGAAGATCATACCACTGTTGGCAAGGATGAAGGCAAAAGTTAGAATACATACAAACCCTTTTAGGTACTGCTGGCAACCCCGCTACAATCTTGTCCGCGTCCCATTCCAGTTCTGCCTCCGGTCTTCCCTCTAGGCCCAGTGCCACACCCTCTCTCAAGGAGTCTGGTCCTCTCTTCTCTTCTCCCTGCTCCAGCTCTGGGGAAAGCATACTAGGTTCTCTTCTTTTGTAAATATGCTGCCAATCTCTGTAAACAAGGCTAAAACCCTGACCACCAACAGGGTTTTATTCTTCCAAGTACTCAGCGGTTCTTCTCAACTCCACCCCCTTAGGGTTACCTGGCAGCTGTAATGTCAAAGTGAGCTTGTCAAAACACCAAGCACCATACAGCGTGAAAGCGAATTCTCTAGTCTAGTCCGGATAACATTCCACTCCCAAATTTAGGGCTTTAAAACAAAAATATGATTTACCCAAAAATGTTTCCAGAAAGTCCAAGGACTTAAGAAACATTTCTAATTCAACATACAACTCCAACCTGGAGGACTAGGGGCACGCCTAAATTCTCAATCACTTGTTTTTTGTTTTTTTGTTTTTCACAATACTTCCATTTTCTAGTCTCCTGAGCTCCATGGAATTAGTTGATATAAAGTTAACTGATATCCAAGAAAAACACACTAAGAACAGGCTGCCTCAATGGCAAGATGAGATTTAACAGGGACAATTAATATAAAGGCCTTCGTTTAGGCTCAAATAAAATAAACTGCATAAATACAGGATAAAGATTTGCTTAGCAAATTTGGGGAATCTGTTTAACAACAGATTTTTAAAAGTCAACAGCATTTACTGTTAACTGTAGCCATGGTGATAGGGGAGACAGAGAGAGAACTGGGCACAAAATTCCACAAATGTCCAAATAATAAATAATCAGTGTTACTTGAACATCCATCTGCTATGTACATATGGGTCAGAAAATCAAAGAACGAATTCGACAAAGTTTGACTGGAAAGGTATCCTAGCCGTGGAGACAACTACCTCATTTTATAGACCTAGTGTCTATTTGTCTCACTCCAATACTAAATCAAATCATGAGGTCAGGATGTGGTAAATTTTGTTTCATAAAAAGCATTTCCTTACTACAGCTCCTCCCTACAATGAACTGACTGCCTCACAGAAGATTATGACTTCTCTATCATTAGAGATATTTAAGCGGAGGCTTAATGACCAATAGTCAGAATTTGTGAAGTAGGGATCTCCTGCACTAAGTAAAGGGTTGATGTAAAACTAAAACTCTACAATTCTTCAAATAGTAAGATTCTATTGTTACAAGTTGCATCAAATATGAAACATCCATACTTTCCTTTTTTTTTAAATATTTGTTTATTTTTGAGTGAGCAAGCAGGGGCAGAGAAAGAGGGTGACAGAGGACCTGAAGCAGGCTCCACACTGACAGCACGGAGCCCAATGCAGGGCTCAAACTCACAAACTGCAAGATGATGACCTGATGCTTAACCAATTGAGCCACCCAGGCGCCCCTCCATGTTTTCATTTTTTGACTAATTCAACTTAAGTTGACATCTTCAAGGTACAGCATTTAGGGTAGCGAAACTCATTGTATAATTGTTTGTTCATCTATTTCCTCCATTACACTGTAGGTTAGTATTTTATGAGTATTTTATGCATCTCTGCATTCCTAGGTCCAGAATCCAGAAAGGATCCAGTATGATTCTTGAATAAACATCCCAGGAGTATCTCTTTTGTATGTGGGTGGTCACTAGCACCAGGGTCCTCAATTAAATGGCCAAGCAACCAAATTTTACTTTTAACTACCTTCATTTTTGAAGTCTTTTTCCCATCTCTCAATGCTCTCCTTTCAACTGTCTGAAATTCCCACTTAAGTACCTCCCTTAAGTCCATTTGATGGACAATACCCCATCATCCAGAATAACCTCTTCCTCCACATAAATGGAAGGCAACCTGACACTTCCAAGATTACAAATGAACATACCCTCTGACCTAGAAGGAATGTAGCCTACAGATATACTTTACATGTGAAAAGTGCCTAACATACATGGTTATTAATTTCCTAAGAATTTTATACTAGGTTGTTTTTAATCCTGCCTATGCATCTATCAATAGAACTGGTGAAATAACATGATGGTATCACTAAAATGGAAGACCATACAGCTACCAAAAAAAAAAAAAAAATTGATGTTTTCATAAAAAATTGTTTTCAAAAAAATTGATGATGATTAACATAGACTAACCCCTAAGATGTATTAAGTAAAAATCTGGGGGCGCCTGGGTGGCTTAGTCAGTTGACCATCTGACTCTTGATTTCAGTTCAAGTCATGATCCCAGGGTCATGGGATCAAGCCCAACATCGGGCTCTGTGTTGAGTATGGAGCCTGCTTGAGATTCTTTCTCTCCCTCTACCCGTCTTCTCTGATCAGGCTCTCTCTCTAAAAAACAACTGCATAGTGCAGAACAGTATATTTAATACAGTAACATTTTGGCTAAAAAGCAAAGGTAGGAAGAAAAGAAGAAAGGAAAATGCATATACACACTGGCTTGTACATATTACAAAGCATCTCCCTGGAAATACAAAAGCAATAGGTAACACTGACTTCCACGGAAGGGAACTGGGTACCCAGATGATAGGGATGGGAGGAGACTTTTCACTACACACACATTTGTACTTTTTGAATTTAGAAAAATGTGAGTGTATTATATCTATTCAGTGTCATAAAAAAATTAAAAATGCCTTTCTATGCTCCATCCCTTTCTCCTATACTATCTTCAAAACTCCTAACTTAGTACATTTACTATATGGAGTATTGCCACCTCATGCCAATTTCAAACTTTAATGTTCTTTCTGTGAAACAATTTGCCAAGATACAGTAATAGCCTTTAAAATATACTTTTTTGGGGGGGCACCTTGTTGGCTCAATCAGTAGAACATGCAACCTGTGATCTCAGGGTCATGACTTTGAGCCCCACACTGGGTGTACAGATTACTTAAATAAATAAAACTTTAAAAAAAACTTTAAAAAAAGTAAATATTACTTAAAAAAATAAAACTTCTTTAACTCTATTAATACTACTTCTTAGAATGTTGTCTAAAGGAGTAACAAGAGATAAGAGCAAAGATACGCACGCAGATGTTTGTTACAGCATTTTATGGTTGAAAACAACCTATATGAATGACAATATGACAATGACAAAATAAATTATGACACAGTCATAAGTGGGATGCTATATAGGCATTAAAGCTGATATTTTAGAAGCATTTTTAAGGACAGGGAAATGATTATATTACTAAAGCTATATACAATGTGATTATAATTCTATTGCTATCATGTGTCTTGTTTTTGTTTTTTTTTTAACCACTTCAAAGAGTTGAAGGGGTATGTTGACATACAGAGCAGATGTGTACCCTAGCCCCTAAAAAGAATAGAGAAACTTTTATCTCTGATGGTTAGCGCTACAACATTAACCGAATTTCTTGGTTTTTCCCAATCTAAACATACCTTTATAGTTTCTCATTATAGTTTATGTGGA